GCCTGGTGCTCATCAAGCAGGCTAGACTGCCTGAAAGTGAACCTCAGAACCCCCTGTCTTCTGCCTCCCCAGTGCTGGAACTACAAGTGTGCACCACCACCCACGGTTATGTTATGTGGTTACTGGGACCAAACTCAGTTCCCACCACTTGCAAAACAAGTGTGTACCAACTAAGCCGTCCCTTTACACCCACAATAACATTATTGTTGTTGCTTGTTTGGTTTTTCAAGACAGGGTTTCTTTGTGTAGTCCTGGCTGGCCTGGAACTCAATTTGTAGACTAGGCTGGTCTTGAACTCACAGAGATCCACCTGTCTCTGCCTCCCGAGTGCTGGGATTAAAGGTGTGGGCCACCAACACCTGGCCACAATAACGTTTTTAACCAAATGATCTTATCTATTTCTTCTTAACTTTGTGGCATGTCTATATTTTGAGTTATACAGGTGGCTTATGTTTTATTTCCTTTAGATGGCCCTGCTCTATGAGAATCTATTAGTTTACTTCTTTGTTTATGTTCAACAAAGGAAAGTCCTTTAATCTGGTGGTACTAGTATTCGGCTTTTCTATCAAGTATACCTAGTTTAAGAAAGACACGAACTCTTAGAAAACAGCAATAATGCCATTTCTCCCTACCTTGCCCATTCCCCAGGTACTGTAAAAGGTGAAGCAGTGCCCTGTTCACACACACACATAAATACCCTGCTCTTCAACACTTCCCAACTATACAATGGAAATGGTTCAGGAATGTATTCTCCAAAGACAAACTCCCATCTCTTCCTGCTCCTTTGTTTCAGGTGAGTGTAGCTCCTCAGCTGTTCCTCCTCCTCTGCTGTTGCTGCTGTCTATGGAAAGGGCTGATCATAGAAGAAGCCCCTCAGCCTGTTCCTCCCTGCCTGTCTTCCAGAAGCTACACACACTGACTGGCAAGCCTGTTTCAGTAACAACATTACGGCTGGTTCTTCACACCCTCTCCCTACCAAATGAATACCCAAAACTCACAGCTTGGGCTTGTGGTTTTAAGAAACAAGCTTGGAACATGTCAGTCCTGCCAAGCTCCTGCTCATCCTCCAAAATGCTGCTGAGAATTCCTCCTTACATGAAACCTTCCTAAAGACTAACTGCTAACACACAAAATCGTTTTCTCTGCCATTGTCCTCTCCAGTATATTTCAAGGAAAGCGGAATAGTCCAAAATGTGCATTCTCATCCCCAGTGTTCTGCCAGCTTCCACCTCACCACGGTAGTATCTGTAATAAAAGCATACATACATCCTTAGCAAGGATAAAGATGTTTAACAGGTGATACCCACCAGTAATCCCAGCTCTGACAAGCTGAGACAGAAAGACCTCAGGTTGGAAGCTAGCCTGGGCTACACAGGGAGACCTTGAAAAGACAGGGGTGGAAGAGAGGAAGAGGAAAAGGAGAGGAAGAAAAGAAAGGGGGTGAAGAGGGAAAAGAAAAGAAGAGGAAGAATGAGAGGCAGGACACAGTGAACCAGGAGCCAGAGGAAACAGACTGAAACTGGAAGCTTGAGCATAGTGTACTACAATCCCAGGGTGACCATACGACTCTGTACCTATCCCTCCTCAGGGCTTAGCTTAGGAACAGTTCTTTTAAGAACTGTTAACTTTTAACTTTTAACTGTTAACTGTTAACTTTTCTTTTTAAGTCTGTTTCTGCACATAAGACAAATCTTTCTTGGCTTTTTTCTTCTAAATTTGTTTTATTTGGGACAACACTTACCAGTGTGATATAGGTGCTCACTGACCAAGCACACAAAGTGAAACAAAACATCTTTCTTTGTAAGTATGACCTTAAAAATTCTAAGACTCCAATATTAAAATCCCCCCCGGCTGTACTAAATGACTATAGACCTACCCTGCACTGCATTTTCACTTGCATGGTCTTATTTCAACCAGTTTCTCCACCAGAACAGCCACATGAATATAAGTTTTCAAAAGAATTTAAAGTTGACATAGACTTCTGTTTAATATACCCATTGGTGTTTAAGCATATAAGATGGTAAGTAGAAAGTTTCTGGTAGTTAGATGGGTTAACAGATTTTTTTTCACATCAAATAAAACTAATGATGTTACAAACAGTATATTCTGGAGGCTTTCCAAGAACTGCCAATCACTTCCACTTAACAGAAAACAGCAGTGTATTCTTAGAAATCTCTATGTTCTTTCCTGGCTGCACAGTGCTGGGGGAGCAGGGGGTGGCTACTGTTCTTTGAGGTTGTGCATATCAAATACATGTGACTTGGTGTGAAAATGTGAGGGGATTTTCACTAATTCTACATAGTTTACCAGAAAAGAAAAAAGGCACACAAATTCTCTTAGAAATATTTTGCAAAGGTATGGAATGGACTTACAATGCCCAGATAATTTTTGCATAAATTGTTTGTTTTTTGATATTATAATAAAATTATATCATTTCCTCATCCCTTTTCCTTCCCAAACTGTCCCGTTTGTTCTCTTTACTCTCTTTTCAAATTCATGGTCTCTTTTTTCATTAATTGTTGTTACACACATATATGAATACATATATTCCTAATGTTACTTACAGTGTTAGTTGTATGTATGTTTTCAGGGATAACCTCCTCCCTGAAGACTAGCTTTCATGGTGCCAGAAGGCACTATGCAAGCTTCTAAAGAAAGGAAGCAACCAAAGTCTTACCCAGCATGACACCTTTAAACCAACATCAGTGACCAGCACGACACAATAACCTTAAGGGTGCAGTAGTGGAACACATATGTTGCCAGTAACTAACAGCCCAACGGCTCTCTAACAAGACTTTAGACAGGCCCAACATGAGGAAAACCATGCCTGGTACTAGAAACCTGTCAACTACCTGAAGCTCGTGAAGTCATGGATTTTGGATGAGAACCTACAATCACCATTTTATTAAACCAGCACAAGTCCTAACTACATTCTAAATATTTGTCCTTATACCCACAGATAAAGTGTGGTGTAAGGACCTCACCCCTCATGAAGGAAACTTCTCTTTGCAATAGACCATTGCAAAAAACCACAGACAATCAAAACTGCAGAGTTGTGGAGCTCAGTCCCAGTGGATAAATACATAGTACAACTCCTGCTCCTAAGGCTCAAGGAACACTGTGGAAAGATTGTTAAGAGCCAGAGGAACAGAGTGTTTGCTGTGAAATGTGTCTCCTAAGAATGTCAAAAGTCTCATGTGACTTTTTTGGATTATAAAAACACTGTCCTAAATATTAATAATGCTTTACAGGAAAAGGGTAATTCCCTTGGTAAGAAAATAACTGAAGCTGACTCTGTTTTGTTTTTTTTGTGTGTGTTTGTTTGTTTGGTTTGGTTTTAGTTTTTCGAGATAGGGTCTCTCTGTGTACCTCCAGCTGCCCTGAAACTCGCTCTGTGGGCCAGGTTGCCCTTTAACTCACAGAAATCTGCTATCTCTGTCTCCTGAGTGCTAGGATTAAAGGTGTGCACCATTCTCTGTTTTTAATAGTGAAGGTTATTTTTTTCCTTATTCCTTTATCTGACTATCAGACAGATACTGCTTCTCATGTCCTGTACAAAATTTAAAGACAGGGTTAGTCTCACAGAAATTAAGAAGAGAAAATAAGGCATTGAGAGAGCTATACAAAATAATTCATACTATATATATAAAAAAGGAATGGCCTGTGACAACACTACCTCTCAATGCCAATTATATCATATTGGCATTGGTTTTTACACTTAAGTTTTTAACTTTCCTAAAGATTTCACTTGATATATCCTATCACTGCCTATAAACTAAGATAATGAAGTTATCTCTAACTTTACCATAAGGAAATACAAGTCTAGAGAGCTAAATGATGTCTCTAATCATACAAAGTAATATATTAACCAGCGACAAACCCTGCCACATCACCTTCTGTACAAGGAAGATTATAAATCCATGGTACCTCATCATGCTGGCTAACAACTTCACAAGTTAGAATGTCCTATGGTCCTGATGCTTTGGTTCTTTGTTACCTAACATAGCAGTTGACCACATTTTACTAAGCATCTGTTGTCTAATAATATTGACTTAGGTTGTGCTAGAAGCAATTCCTGTGTGGGGCAATTCTTGGATGGAGATACCACTATTTTCATGCTACTAAAAGAAGAATATTAAGGTGTGGAGAGCTGAAGTTGTCTGTGAAAAATTACCTAGGTAACAATGACCAGAAAGGAAGTTGAGCCTTGGCTCTCTAACTTCAGAGTTCACAGCTAAATTAAACCTTTCTAGGACTTTTCAAGTGATATTGCATCTCAACTTTCAAGCAACAAAACAACTTAACTTGAAGGTCAACAAAATAAGAAGTAGATGAGAGCTGCTCTCCGCACAGCCAGAGATTTACCTTGCTAGTGAAAATTAATTTAATCTAAGACAAAATCAGTAACGATAAGGGATAAAATGCCTCTTAGGACAGTTACATACAAAATAGTCAGTTCTGTACTCCCCTATTATGTCTATCTTAGCTTATAAGATTATTGAGCTGTTAGGTGTGGTGGGGCACACATAAAACTCCAGAGCAGAGGAAGCTAAAGCAGGAAGGTTGTAAGCTGAAGGCTGGCCCGACTCATATAAAGTATTTCAGACAAGCCTGGACTACTTAACACGGTGCTGTCTCCAAATGAGAATATATGGATTGTTCTGAGGAAGCCTAACACCTCTCTGTTTACCAGAGGCAAATTCTGTTACTCTGTGACTCCCATGCTGGATGTTTGACACAAACCCAGTATCTCAGCTCTGCCAGATTATAGCTCCAGTCATATGTTATGTGTCACATGTCCCTTGCCTTTGCCAGGGAGGTCTATATCCTTCCTTGCTGCTCTAGAAAACACTGGCCCAATGTCCCAACTATTGTTCCTCCTTGGAAATATCCTTGATTGCAGCCTTCCTCTCTAACCAAATGATTACTCATTTGACTTAGACCTTCCCACCTGTCTTGATGGGATGCCCTGCCACATAATATGGCATTAGTTCACTTACATGCCATCTTCCAGACAATGTTGGCATTTGCGGAGCAAGAACCTTGGCATCTTTGTGTCTCCGTGGCCAAATACAGCATCTGGAATGAAACCATTCAGTAAGTTTCAATGAATGGAACAATCAGCTAACCCATGAATTCTAGATACTCCTAACAAGAACATTATTCTCCTAATCTTTAGCCTAAAACATAACTAAAACTAATGTATCTCCTTCTTATATAATATTCTAAACACCTGACAAGATTAGATTTACTTTCTTTGGGGGGAGGGAGTTTTGAGGCATGGTTTCTCTGTGACTTTGGAGGCTGTCCTGGAACTAGCTCTTGTAGACCAGGCTGGTTTCAAACTCACAGAGATCTGCCTGCCTCTGTCTCCCAAATGCTGGGATTAAAAGTGTGTGCCACCACCGCCCAGCTTAGATTTACTTTCGTATATTTCCATAAAGTACAATTATCAAGCTTTCTGAATCATTGTCAGGACAAGTCCATCCTAGTTCTGACTATTTAGATGTGAATATATAACCTATAGTTACCATAGATGCAAAGAAAGTAAAAAGGGACAGTGTTGGGGGAGGGGCAGGAACTCTGAGAAGGGGGGAGGAAGAAGGGTAGGTAACACTAAGGATATTTTAAAAAGCCATATGGAGTTATATTACTTTATGTGTACTGGAAATTACCTATAATAATACTAATAATAAAAACCCATAGACTTCCTAACAAAAATCCCAGCACCATGCATAGGAAACCTCCTTTACAGTTGTTGGTCAGGGGAGTGTAAGAAACTCCCAAAGCCATTTCTTTAGGTTGTATTCCAGAAAATTGAAGTAAAACCCTATTGCTGAAGACACCACATGCTTTAGACACAGGACTTGGAGAAAGAGCTAGACCTGACCTAGAAGCCTCCCTGCTAAGGACTAGTTTTCATGGTAAAAAGCACTCAGTAGTCCTATCCAGCTGTGACAGTTACAAACCACAACAATGGCCACAATGACAAGCTATCCCAAAAGGTGCAATAGGAGCACTTAAATAATAGGGATAACAAAGAGCCACCTAATTGGATTTAAGACCTGCTCTATAGAAGGGACCTCATGCCTGTCACTGTAAACGTACACAACTATGAATGGCTGGTGAGGCCATGGAACCTACAGAAAAACCGCTACTACCACCTTCTTAAACCAGTATAATTTCTGACTATCTTTGAAATACTTATCCTTATGCCCGCACACTTCTTTCTGCAGCAGGTGTAAAGCAACAAGTGGTCAAAATGCAGAGAACAGTTGACTGTGGGGTACCCATTCCTGACTGGCACATCTACAACACACCCATCACACTCAGGTTCAGGGAACATTGTGGAAGTGGAGGTGGAGAGGCAGTAAGGGCCAGAATGTCAGCACATCTGCTGTGAGATTGTATCTCCTATAGAGGACAGAGAAGCTGCACTGATAAAACCTCAACAATATGCTTGTCTGAACAGTAGCAAATGAAATACCAATATTGATATGGAAATCTCACAAGGTCCCATTCCTATATTAAGAGCTATAGGCAATTAATTAATTAAAGAGGGAGAATTAGTTTTCCCAAGGGACAAGGCCCCTTGATAGGTTATCTAATCCCAAAGTGGTCAGCCCTAAACACATATGCATATGGGCAACAATAAATGTATTCAGCTAGTTGTATTTATAAATTCACACATGTGTGTAACATTAATAAATAATATGATGTCATGAAGTTAAGAAGGAACAAGAAGGACACAGGAGTTAGAGCTAGAGGGGAAAGGGAAATGAGGCTGATACAGTATTCATATATGGAATTCTCAAAACATAATGACTGTTTATTTGGTTTTCCTAAAGTAAATAAGAACCCATCAGCATTGAACCTAAGGCATCAGAAAATAGAGCAGTACTTCCCATTATCTATATAACAGTGTGTACCTCAGACAATCACAGTCTTAGGAGTTCTCTGATGAGAAAGCCAGGGTAGATTATATACAGTTAATGAGGGTTTTTTTTTACTGCATAGCTTGTACCACTAAAAGACATTCCCTACCTAGAAGGGGCAATTTGACCAAAAAGAAAATGCTATGTGCTTCAAGAATTAGATATGTGATTTTAATATTTCTTCTACTCCTCCACTACCAGAGATTTTTCGGAGGCTATGACGCCAGGGAAGAGCATGGGGAAGAACAGGACTATAGAACAAGGGCTGAAGTGGGGGTTACCATTTTATATGTCCCACGGTGTCTTTTACCTCATTATCTTTAAATGAGAAAAACAGAATCTAAAGGAGTCTAAAAGGCCTAGAAAGGAAAAGAAAGGTAATGAGTGATGAGGAAAGAGAAGAACATTGCACTGCCCTTTCTTTGGTGTCAGTGGTGTGCATCTGATGACATCAACTACCCACAAGAAAGATCTCCTAAAGCATGAGTTCCTGGAATGAAATCACTCTAGCCTAACCGATTTTGCTTCTAACCTGGCTGTAGCCACTACATACTAGAGTCCACCTTACAGGCCACTTAGTAACTTGCCCACCATGTCCCTGCCAATCTTGACTAAAGCCATCTATCTTAGTAGAAGACACTTTCTACTGTGGTTTGGATGTGGTTTGAATGTGTCCCCAAAGGTGCATGTATTAAAACATAATCCCCCTTGTGGCATATTCAGAGGATAGAAACTTCATCCAACTATGATGTTTAGAGGTTTGGTCTTTGGAACATGACAAGACTAAATAAAGTTACTAAGGTAAAGCCTTCATGATTAAGACCTGATGGCTTTATAAAAGGGAGAGAGACCAGAGGAAATAAACACACACACACACACACACACACACACACACACACACACACACTCCCTGACTCTTGACAAATGATGTCTTGGCCCACCTTAGAACTCTTGCAGCAAGAAGGCCATAGTTAGAAGAAGACTTTTATTTTGGACCTTCAGAACTATGAGTCAAAGTAAATCTCTTTTCATTATTATGCTACCTAACCATAGGTATTTTGTTATATTAATGTAATAAAAATTCCAAGCTTGATGGTATTTTATTTGATTGGTTATTTATGATTTGAGAAAACAAATTCAGAAATTATGTGTCCTCATTTATTACAAGAGCCCATCCAGTACTGTCACGCTGTTATTACCATTGCAAAACCACAAAGAGACCAGTGGTTATGCCTCTAGAGAAAGCTCAGCACGGGTCTCTGAAGAATAATACCCTTACTTTGCAGCTTTGGAAGAAGTTTAGAGTACTTTAGTGAACCACACTTTCTCAAACCAAGGCTTTGTACATGTATTACTCAGAGTTCTCTACAGAGAATATACATAAACACATGAAGCAGGACTGAATAGCCTGGATTCAATAGTCCATGCTGGATACTCCCACAATGGCCATTTGTGTACCAAGAATCTATAGCAGTTCATTCCAAGATAGAAGCCTTAGGAAGGAGAGATCAGGGATGAAGCTGCTGACTAAGACAGGAGACCTGGAAATCCTGTATCATCATGGATCCACATGGAAAAGCTTAGGAAACTAGTATCAGATGTCCATGGGGGATGGAAGCAGCATCAAAGGCCTGCTCAGGAAAAATCAAGCCTCCACATGCTTGCTGGCTTCCTCTTCCTTTTGCTTTTGTTCTGTTCCGGCTTCCCCTCCACCTTAACTACTATCCCGCAGGCCAGATGTCTCTGGAAATGCCTGCACTGGCACACCCCAGAAGTGTGCTTTCATAATCTCCTAGGCAGACCTTTCTCAGTCCAATCAAGGTGGCAGTCTGTTAACCATTACAATACACATTGTCTCATCTGCCTAGGGTACCTTCTCCCACTGCCTTGCTGATACCCCAGCTGAACCTAATCAAATGTTGTTTTTCTTTCAGATACATCTCATGAACATTAGTTACATTCCCTTGCATCAGGTGGCATTTTCTTTATCCCTTCAGGCATTGTTTGTTCAATGTTTCCCTTCCCTGAAGATTACCAAGTCCATAAGGTTCAGGGTCCTTTCTATCTTGTGTACTAATGGAGCAGGAAGTACAAGTATGGGATAGTCTGATTTTCTTTATTTCATACAAGTGGAGAGAAAGGGAGATATCTTAGGAGGAAAATGCAAGAGTAAGATTATAATTAATATACATCCAGTGATTTATGTATCAGGCACTAGGCTAAGAAGATTGGCACTGTAAATCATAGCAGGCCACAGATCTTGTTCAAAAACTTACAGTTATTATCTTATTTGACTCAAAATATAAATGGTTGGTAAAGCAGGAACATATCTGGATTCTGAAAATAGAAAAGGGGAAATGAAAGACAAATTGGAGACAAAAGAAACCTTAAAGATTCAACATTTCTCCTTGACTTTTGTACCTTGTCCACACCAAGCTCTCCCAAGGTCATGGACACTTAGTTGCTTGTATATGCTCCTCTGTTTTATATTCCTTTTAAACCTGAACTCTAATGACAGTAACACACTTTGGAGCTGTGTTAGGAAAGGGAAACCGAGGTAGTTAGTTGCTTCCTTGACTGACTTTTGCTCACACTTTCTGGAGCTTTGCTGATTGATATCCCACCCTCCTTCTAACCACACCATCTCGGTCACAGCACTGAGTCCTGAGATGACAAAGATTAAAGAAATGAAACATTCTAGATTTGCCTTGTTTTGCTTAAAAAAAAAAAAAAAAGGTAGCCTGTGACTGCTCGAGTTTGTACTCTGAAAATAACTCACCAACAAAAGAACAAAAAAAAAAGGATTTTTTAAAACATGTTCACTTTTGGCACTTTAATTTTTTTTTAATTTTTGAGATTAAAATATAATTACATCATGAACCCCTTTTCTCTCCCAAACCTTTCATGTACCTCCCTGTGCGCTCTCTCAAATTCATGGTCTTCTTATTTTATTTTTTATTCAGAGCTCTTATCACTCAAAATGTTGCAATTCATAACTTATAAATATAAAAACTAACTTTGTAGGAGGAGCCAGAGGGTTGAGAACACCACGTGAACAGCCCTCAGACTCAACTAACCAGGGCTCACAGAAGCTCGTGGGGACTGAAGCAACAATCACAGAGCTTGTGTAGGTCTGCAGTAGGTCCTCTGCACTTACCTTATGGTCGTGTAGCTTAGTGTTCTTGTGGGTCTCCTAACAGTGGGAGTCAGGGAGGGATATCTCTGATTCTTTTTGCCTGAGCTTAGAACTCTTTTACTCCTACTAGGCTGCCACAACCAGCTACACTGCCATGATATGAGGATTTGCTACCAGTCCTATTGTATATTGTTGGGCTATGCTCAGTGGATATCCCTGGGAGGCCTGCCTGTTTTTCAGGGGGTGGGCAGAGGAGGAGTTGATCTGGGAGTAGAGGGGAGGTGGGGGAGGGACTGAGAGGAATTGAAGGAGAAGAAAATGCAGTCAGGATGTAATGTATAAAAGAAGAATATAACACAAAACAAACAAAAAAATCTAGCTTTATAGAGACTCCTCCGTCCTTGGAAGCAAAAAGTAAGGACTGATGCCTGGCAAGTAAGAAGAACCAGTTCCATCTGGTTCTCCAGCTCTGAACAGAATGAAAGTAGTCCTTCTTTCATCAAAAGCCTGTCTACTTCCATTTCTTTCTTCAATGACCTAAAGGTTTTATCAGACAAGTTTTTACTTGCTTGGTTAGAGCTATCCTAAGATATTTTTCATGGTTAATGTGAAACGTACTATTTCCCTGATTTCTTTCTCAGACTAATTATCATTTGTATGAAGGAAAGCTATTGATTTTTTGTGTGTCAATTCTGTATCCTGCTGTTTTTCTGAAAGTATCTATCAGTGTAGAAGTTTCCTGGTGAAGTTTTTAGGGTCATATGTGTGTACTGTCATATCATCTGCTGATAAAGATACTTTGACTTCTTCCTTTCCTATTTGTATCCCTTTGATCTCCTTCGGTTCTCCTAATGTTCTAGCTAAGAATTCAAGTGTTCTATTGACTTAAGTATGGAGAGAGTAGACAACCTTGTCTTGTTCCTGATTTTAGTAAAAATGCTTTGAGTTTCTCTCTGTTTAGGTTGGTGTTGGCTATGGGCCTGTTGTGGGCCTGCTTTAAGTTGCCTTTATTATGTTGCAGTATGTATCTTGTTTCCCTGGTCTCTCTAGGACTTTTATCATGAAGGGAGGCTGGATTTTGTCAAAGGCCTTTTCTGCATCGAGTGTGTGTGTGCGTGTGTGTGTGTGTGTGTGTGTGTGTGTGTGTGTGTGTGTGTTCCTAAATATATAAATACAATATGCTCAGTCTATGTATAATGTAGCTTGTACATTTCATGTTTTCAGGGCTGACCATTTAACATGCTAACATGGAAGGAGGAAAGCTCATGAAGCCTCATTTCTAGACAAAGAACTACAGACAACTAAAGAAGGTAGAATATGGAAAAATAGTCTTTCCTGGGGAAAAGCACGTAAGTTGGCTATCCAATACCAAAGGGTCAGTTCTGTGTTTTCCATACAGGGTCTTACTATATAGCCACAAACTCTCTAAAACTCATGCTCTAAAATTCACAACCCTGCTTCAACCTGTCAAGAGTTAGGATTACAGGTGTGTGTCACTGCACCAGACTCAAGAGGGGGTTTTCTAACAGAAGCTGTGCCTGGATGGGGAGTGTAATGAAGCCTCTCCCCTTCCACATCTCTATGTTTTTATAAGGACACCTTGTGGAGTCAAGAGTGACATGATAAAGGATAAGCAGGTAGTTTGGAAAATTCTCAGGAGGCCACAGAAGTAGCATTACTAAGAGAAGTAAATGTAAGCAGAACATGAATTCTAAACCAGCTAATGTTTTCATGGTATGTGTCAGCCTTTCATCACCATGTGGTAATAACTCTAGGGCACGTAAAAGAATGTGAAGGGTATTGAAATGGAAGAAATTGGGAAGCTACACTAAATTCAGATGACTCATTGTAGAAAGATGGTAGTGGGGACAATCAGTCTTCCGGATGATGTTTAGAGCCTCCAAGCTAAGTCAATGATAGGTCAAAGAACTTCAGTGCCCATTACATACTCCTGGGGTAGAGTTCCTACATGGAACCAAAAAGTGTTCCTTATGTCCAGAATAAGAACCCAGGGACAAAAACACTGAGTAGATGGTGTGTGCACCATGGAGTATTAAAAACCAAGTGAGTTAGAAGAGCATGCCACATAGTCTTTAATCTACCCATTAAATAAAAATGTCCTTGTCATAACAGCTAATGAGGTGTGCTGCACTAAACAATTCATGTGTTATATGACCAGTGACTCCAATGAATATGTCTTCTGCAGAACAGATTCTATGTCCTAAGCCTTGAGAGGAAAACACACGCAACTGACAATAACCCAAAAGATGAGGAAACTAGTGAAATTGCTTGAGAAGAGAGAAGGGAGAGTCGCCATGTACTCTATCGCTGAAGCTTCTTTTCCCTTTCCAAGAAAATTTAACACCTAAGAATTCGAGCATGGTCTGTTAAACTTCAAAGTGGGCACTGCTAAAGGAATACTCCTTGGATAGGGTCATATTTGCCTCTCTTAAGGAAAATCTGAAGCTACTTTAGACAATGTAGAATTGCAATTCCCAGAGTCCAGTGGATACACCCCTGCTGACTCACTACGGAAGCCTGGAAAACCAGACCACCCTGGCAAACTGTCTAGAAATGTCATTCAGCTCAGTTATTCTATAAAGTCATCAGCAGTTACAGGTGTCCTTGGGCTGGAAAGTGGAACCTGGTGGGTGGCCTGGATAGCAGTGTGTGCTTTGTAGCAGACAGACAAAGACTTGAAGTTTGGGCCATGAGAAAAACCTGAAGGAGGTGCTCAACTCCAGGGGAAATGCTGGTCCACATTAAGACTTCAAAATCAACAAGGAGCATCTACCCACGTGCCAGCCTTGGCTTTGTTAAAGGAAAGCCCCAATTGCTTTAGGGAACATGTCATTGTATTCCGAAAAACACAAGCAGAAATGCTTCCAAGGTATGAGTAACAACAAAACTTGCATATGTAGTGAGTTAAGCTTGTTAAAACTATTTTGCACAAATGATTGTGTTGAATCTCCAAAGCTCCAAGGGCAGAAGAAAAGTAGATATCCTATTATTGCACTGTGTCCACCTTCCAGGCTTATTATGAGGCTAGAAATGAAATGATAGATGAAAATATCCTTCCACCCCAGCAAGAACTGACCTGGTCCATCTGCTCTGCATACAGAGGTCTTTATCCACGAGAAGCCCATACAGACATGTTGGGAAGGTTACCACCTCAGACATCTCTGTCACTAAATGACTCATTCCATCTTTGTAATATTTGTGGTCACCTAACCCAATTAAAGCTCGCATTTCTGGAATGCTCATTTACCAGAAGAAAGCAATTTACTTCCCCTGTCCTTAGCTCTATCCTTCCTCTTTGATTGCTCTCTTGAAACAGCCACACCTTAGTCTAGCAGCTTGATCCTTTGGAATTTATGCACCCCCACACTGTCAGGGAGAGATCTCAGAGTTTTTCATTATCAAGAATTGCTTCACACTATCCCAACTGATACATCTACCTAAAGCTCAAGGGATGATCCCAAAAGATGGAGCAGAAATATTGTAAGAACCAGAGGACTAGGAAGTTTGCTGTGAGATTTTGTCATATAGAAATGTCAAAAGCTATATCCATGAAGTCTCACCAACGTGGCTGCCTAACAACAATTAACAAAAAAAAAAAAAAAAAGAGGCCATGAATTTCAAAGAAAGCAACGCTGGATATGTGGGAAGGTTGAGCAAGAGAAAGAGGGAGGGAGAAATAATGTAACTATATTTATAATCTCAAAAAATATTGAAAAAATACATAAAGAATGGCTCTACACCCAAAATCACAAGTATAAATTATCCCTCCTCTAACCCTTTTCTCCAGTGCTCTCCTGACTGTGAATGTCCACACCCACTCTCTAAATTCATAGAGTCCCCAACTTCTGTTTTCATTTCCTGAGTCTATCAGCCTCCTAAACAAGACTACAAGTCATTAGACATTTGATCTTGTCACTCCCCAGCAACCTCAAATCCAATAGTATTTCTCAATATGGCAGTTAGGCAGCAAACTCTCACCACAAGATCAATGCTATTTTGGAATCTAGAAGGGTGAGCACTGAGTCAACATTAACCATTCAGATTGTTGTCAAACAAACACACAGTGTCTGACCTCGGGACCTCAAGAACTCTCCTCAATCTTTTTACTTGACTAACTCTGTTCTTTACTCCCCCTGGGTAAGTGTTGGTTTCAATGATCTAAAAATGCATTTCTGTATCTACCAAGGGATCTTACTAAGGATTGTGCCCTTATTTTACACAGACAACATGATTTCTTCTTCATTTCAAAAGCTGATGTTTGAAGAAGAGGAAAATCAGAGGCTTGTGATAAAATAAAAGTGATTTTTTCCAGATTCCTCCATTCCCAAGGCCAAGAAATAAAGACATTCTCAAGGCTCATCCAATGCTCTCTTAGTTGCAGAGGTTCACCTCATTTACATTTACTTTGGAATCTCTGTTAACCTATCCAGATCTCTCTCTAAGCATCATGAAAATTTCAAGTCAGCATTTCCACATTGTCTAAAAAGCACCTCAAAATCCCATACCAGGCTGGAATGTGCTTGATACACAACCATGAGGACCTAAGTTCAAAATCACAGAAGCCATGAAAACTCTGAAATGGTAAAGGGCATCTCAGTGTTCCTACAGTGAGGTAGAAGGCAAAGATAGAAAAATCCCTGAAAACTTACAGGCCAGGAAGGCTGGTCTATACAGCGGTGAACAACAGAGGCTCTGTATCAAATGAGGTGAAAAGCAAGGACCAGTATTCATAGTTGTTCTCTGACTACATGCATGCCATGACTTACTTGGACCCATATGCAAATGAAAACACACACATGTACATACATCAATTTTTTTAAACTCAAGCCACAATTAGACTTTCCCTTTCCATCTCTGCCTGTCTATATCTTACACACACACACACACACACACACACACACACACACACACACACACACATTCTCTTTCTCCCATGCACTAAAACACCACCCAAGTTCAAGTCCTTGAGATAGAAACCTGGTAGACATCCTTGCTCCCTCCCTCTACCCAACCCAGTCCATCAACAATATCTACACACATTATCGCCTAATCTTCTCTAAAGTCCAATCCCTTTTCCCTGTTCAAATAATGAACAACAACCTGCTCAAATAAGGAAATTAAAGCTGAAAGAGGTCAAGAGATTGAGCAGTATCACACAACCTATATTTAAAATTAAAGAATTTTACCTCACTGGGTGGGGAGTTTTTTGTTTGCTTTTTTTT